GGAAGAGATTTGCGAAAGAAGGAAGTGGGACGCCACACCGCCTTTTTTTACATCCAAGCAGACGCGCAAGCAGAATCCTGAATGCCAGAACACCGCAGGTGCTATGACGAGCTTAAAGAAACTTTGTGAATGTGATTTTTGAACTGCCTAAGGTTATTAGAACTTAAAAAAACCTCCTCATGTAGATTGTTCCACTCTCGATACCCTAGGGACAAAGAAGCGGTCGTATCGGCCAGTTCTGGATGTACGTAGTTGGACTCTGTTAGGATGAGAGGTGGAAGTCAGGCGAGTATGTCTGGCAGGCACGTTCCTTCTTTTTGGAGAAACATCCTCCTTTTTAATATTGATTCACTCAAACTACCCTAGATCATATCGAAATATTATCGTTTTACGATTTGCAAAGAATATCTGCGGCCGATGGCAGGATACGTGACAACACCGGCTGCTGCTAAGCCTCTTTCACCGTTGTACTGGGGGAATTTAGATTCGATTTTCTCCGCCGAAATGGCAGCCGTTTTTTTGACACTGGCAGGAGAGTTTCATAGCTGATTGTTATCTAAGCCGTGCTAAAAGCAGAATGACAGGTTAGCGTTAGAAAGACATACATAGCGAGGGTTGAACAATTGTTTTTTTTCTCCGAAATACAAAGGGTACTATAAAAGTTTTACAATACGACTTAACAAACGGACGCAAGAGGCTGCATGTTACTGTATGTTGAGACAAGTGCATGAGTGCATAGTAGCCGCCAGCAGCATGTCTGTTGATTTAGTTGTTCATTCGTATTGGCAGTGTAAAGTGCGGACTATGGCATCGTGCTCACGCGGTGAGATAAGGGCAGCTTTACTGTATAACTTTACGCATAGTTTAACACGTTCGCTGCGACCTGCCTCGCGCCGCGCGCATGGTAGCGGCTAAACGATTTTAGGCGCTGCACAAGCGAAGCGCGGATTCGCGTCGTAAGCCTATTGGATGTGCGTTGTGTAATTGAAAACTATTTCATATATACATTTTCTTCTTCTATCTCGTTTTTTTTCGTGCAGTAACACGAAACATGTCTTGAAACCCTATTAAAGATGTTTCTTTAATTAATTTCAGAACACCACAGTCTTGTGAGTTTATATCAGCCAGAAGCGCGGATCCGCGCCCGCCGCCTTTCGTTAAACATCGGTCGGACGCGGGTCAGCGTCGTTCGCAGTGAACGTGTTAAGCATAGGCCAGTGCTTAGAAGAAATGACGTTTGCATCAAAGAATGATTTTCCTCATCGTACGACTTTATTCAGGTGGTACAGAGAATTCCAAACGGGCAATTTCACTCTGGAGGTCGCTGAGAGGGAAGGAAGGCTGCGAACATTAGTAACAGAGGAAAACATTACTGCTGTGAGGAAAATGCTTGACGAAGACAGGAGAGTAACACATACCAAGAGATAGACGAGACCTCACACCTTCATGCACCAACAATTCATTCAATTCTGTATGACCATTTGTACGTAAGGAAACTTCGTTTTCTCTGGGTACCGCATAATCTGACGAAAGAGCAGAAGACTCGTCGTACGACTTGGCACCGAAACATGCTGAAAATGTTTGATAAGGGGCAATCTCGGTATGCGAACAGCGTCGTGACAGGTGAAGAAACCCGGCTCTATTATTACGATGTGCCGCCCAAGGCTCAAAACAAAGTTTGGGTCTTTGATGATGAGGACACACCCGTAGCTGTCAGAAAATCCCGATCTCTTAAGAAAAAAATGATAGCTGTATTTTTCAAATCGAGCGGGATTGTGGTGCGTGTCGTTTTGAGCACACAAAAGACAGTCACAGCTAAGTGGTACCTGGAACAGTGCCTGCCTAAAGTCATAGAGTCTATGAAAAACCTGCGGCCAAAGATAAGAATGGACACTTGGTACCTCCACCAGCTCACCGCGCCAAAGCCTGCACCGACTATTTGACCACTACTGGACTGAAACTTATTGAGCACCCTCCTTACAATCGAGATCTTGCTCCTTGCGACGTTGGACAGTTTCTGCATGTGAAAATGAAGCTAAAAGGAAAACGGTTTTCTAGCGATGAGGACCTTGTGAGCCCTTGGACGAGTATGCCGCACTCCCGGGTGAAACTTGGCAGAGCTGGTTAAGGACTGGTATTGCCGGATGGAGAAGTGTACTGAATGTGGTGGAAATTACATCGAACGAGGTCAATAAGTAAATGTGTATTGGAAAACTTTTATAGTACCCTTTGTAGTGCTGATGCGACAATCCGATGCGGAGTAGCCAAGTGTTCTAGACCGAAGGAGTGAAACTCGTATAAATACGAATGAACTTCCTTACCGGTAAGTCGTTTAATCTTAAAGTTTTTTTTACATTTCAACCGTCTACTGAGCCGTCACATCGGTGGCCCGTTAGTACTGGAATATGTATGTCGATGAGAAATGACTCTAGTCACAATATTCACCAGTACATCACATATACAGTGTGTAATTTAATTAATGGCTAAAAATATAGGATATGATTCCTTAGGTGATTTTAGGCATATGAACATATGTCCTAAACCTCTTGACTTTCGAGCTACAGGGTGTTAAAATTTCAAGGAAAAAAACGTTTTCTTATCATAACTTTAATACTGTTCTAGATATTTTCATGAAATTCAACATGCACCTACTAAGCACCAATAGGCATTTTTTTGATGTTAATATTTTTACCAGTGGCGTCCGTACGGGATGTATACTGCAGATTTCTCCAAAAATATGGTGCGCCATTGCTTTTTAAAAAATTTTTTTTATGAAACCCTCATTCATTTCCCAATAAATTAGACCTACTGACTTTTTCCCGCCCGATGCGCCGTTTCCAAGTAAAATAACTAAAAACCATTTTCATGCATTTATAGTATAACGAAATTATTTTGAACTAATAGGCCGATGCCCCACTTTGTTTTTAGAATAATAACATTTGATCGATTGCGTTGCGGTCTTATTTTGACAAGTATTCATAAACGTGATAGTTTTTCACATTGTGAAAGTTTCTTTAATCAATAATAAAGAGAAAATAAGTAAATTATGCCAAGATTTACAAAATCCGAGTTAGCATTTTAACTTCGGGCTTGTTGACGGGACTGCGCTTATGGCTAGACGGATATATCAAGAGCGGTATCCAAATAGTATCATTCCGATGCCACAATGTTTTTTAGAATACACAGAAGACTACATGAAACTGTGAGTCTTAGCATTAACAATAGTTCCAAAGGGGCACATCGTATGGTAAGAACACCAGAATTAGGAAACTGTTTTAAACACAATTGAGGAACATCCAGAAACAAGTACTAAGGAAATACTTGTTGTCAATATACTATACCCCTATCATACTCTAAGGGTTCAACCAATAGTGCCGCGTGATTTTTCATTGCGTTTAAATTTCTGCCGATGATTTTTAGAAAAAGTTGCTGAAAACCCTTTATTTAACATTAAAATACTCTTTATTGATGAAACTACTTTTTCCCGCAATTCCATTCGAAATTTCCATAATAATCATGTATGAGCCGAAAACCCATACGGAATTACGGAGGCACATCATCAGGAGCAGTTTTCGGTGAATCTGTGGGCTGGAATAGTTGGAGATTTCCTCATAGGTTCGTTCTTCCTTCCAAGACGACTGGATGGACTATCCTATAGTCACTTTCTTGAAAAATGTTTGCCAATTTTGCTCGAGGATGTAGCTCTTTCATTCAGAAAATAAATGTTGTACATGCATGATGGTGTTCCTGTACATTTTACCATTCATGCTAGGGAATTTCTAAATGAAGCATTTAAAAATCGATGGATAGGACGTGGGGGAACTCAATCTTGGCCTACCAAGTCTCCAAATTTAAATAGTTTAGACTATTTTTTGTGGTCACCTTAAGACTTTGGTTTGTACTATACCCGTTCAAACTGTAGAGGCAGAAGATTGTACTTTCTTGCTAAACCATAAGAAATACTTCTAAAATTTTTGAAAGGGTTCGCCAATCCATGAGAAAGGGAATTGAAGCCTGTATCCTAGCAGAAGGAGGACATTTTCGACAATTTTTGTATTAATTAAATTAAATAGTATTAGTTTATTTGATCCACAGAAATTGTCAAAACTTGTTGCAAACTTGTTTTTTTTTTTTAATTTTCATGTATTGCAATTTTTCTCTTTATTATTGATTAAAGAAACTTTGAAAATGTAAAAACTATCACGTTTATGAATACTAGTCAAAATAAGACCGCAACGTAATCGATCAAATGTCATTATTCTAAAAACAAAATAGGGCGTCGGCCTATTAGTTCAAAATAATTTCGTTATACCACAAATGTATGAAAATGGTTTTAATTTTTTTTTCCGCGACAACGGTCCATCAAACAAATTATAAAATAAATATTCTTTTTTTTTTTAAAAGCAATGGCATACCATACTTTTGGACAAATCTCCAGTACGGACGTCACTGGTAGGAATATTAAAAAATATTCTTCATCAAAAAATGCATTAGTGCTTAGTAGGTGCATGTCAAATTTCATGAAAATATCTAGAGCAGTATTAAACTTGTGATAAGAAAACGAATTTTTTCTTAAAATTTCAACACCCTGTAGATCAAAAGATAAGAGCTTTAGGTCTTATGTTCATATAAACTTTTCTTCCTAAAATGAGTTAAGGAATCATATCCTGTATTTTTATCCACATATTAAATTACACCCTGTATTGGCTATGTGAAGTATGCTCTAACACTCCTTTTGTACAAGCCATTAGATTGTACGATAAAATGTTGCATGTATGAATGCAAATGGGGGTTGTGATGTAACTATCACCATCTAGCCACCATCTTGAGAAGTACAATGTGATCGCATTCTCCATCCTCAGAATTAACGAATGACATCTAGCACATTTGTCCATCTAACAGTATTCTTACGAATTTAATCTAGGATTACTTTTTGGCGGATTCATTAAAACCACCATGTACAACTTCTTTAATCCCCCCGGTAAGGAAATCGCACGTACCTTCTCCTTTTCTTTTTTTTCCTTTGGGGACTTGGTTTTGGCAGGACTTGTATTATCAATATCCGGAATATGATCAGGGGGATGGGGCATTGTATGTCTCTTGTTAGCCTCATTATAGTTTTCTTCTGCTCTTACACCTCCCAAAGCTGTAAATTGTCACGCATCAGTAAATTAATACAATTCAAGAATCACGTCCAGCTGCGTAGAAGGTAAAAACGAGTGATTAACGGAAATATACTTACGATCCATGCTCCTTGAAGTCAATCTTTTTCCGGTTAAAGACCTTTCGAATTGCGGTGCTGGCCTTTCGATTGTCGTTTTCTTTGTTTCGTAGTGGGTTCTACCCGAGTATCGGAATTTGGAGCCTAATTTCGGGAACAATGAAGCTTTCTGGTTCGTTTCTGGGGACATTAACCTAATAACATGGATAGAAAAGAATCGGTAATTAATCCATCAATAGTCATCATGGAATTATACAGGGTGGCCCAGAGAAAAGGTCGCACCCACCAGCGAGTTTTCACGAATTTCGAGATTCGAGTAGTGCGTTCGTCTCGTTGGCTCACATCTCAATGATGTAATTTTGAAAAAAGTAAATTCCGATGTGTCTACTTTATTAAAAACATACATTAGCTTCCCTATGCTTTGTAGTTTTTTTCTATGATTTTTCAAAATCCGGTCAACTTAATGGCCCACCCTGTATCACATCCTACCAACATACTCAAAGTGTGTATTATTTTTACAATTTCATGTTTATAACTATTGTCTATTAAATTGTTGTAATTTTAGTTTACTATAGTCATTAAGTTATAATATACAGTAATGGACAAAAGTATTTAGACAAATTAATATTGTGCTGTATTTCTTTTTTAACTTGTTTTATTAATACACCAACCTGTATACATAATTCGTTATAGCATAATACTCACTTATACATAAATAAATTCATTAGACTCCAATAAAAAAAATAATTGAAAAAAACTGGAACTATGAAGGACAAAAATATACAGACAAAGCAAAACAATATTATAGAAAAAAGAAGCAAAGTTAATTGAATTATACAAAACCAACCATGTTTGTGTTAATATTTTGTATCATAACCATTATTATCAATCACCGCCTGGCATCGTCTCGGCATAGATTGTAGAAGTTTCTTGATATACGATTCATCAACCTGTCTCCACTTTTGCTCTAAAGCGGCAAAAAGTTCATCCTTGTTTGAATAATTTTTATCTCGTATTTGCTTATCTAAGTATTCCCATAGATTTTCAATGGGGTTTATATCGGGAGACTGAAGGCCATTTGAGAACTGGTATTTTTTCATCCAGAAAGAACTTCTTTGCGATATTTGAAGTGTGCTTCGGGTCATTATCTTGCTGGAAGATTGATCTTAAGGGCATATTGTCTTCCATATAGGGTAACATGACATGCTTTAGTATGTCTGTGTATACAAACTTATCCATAATGCCATCTATTCTATGTAAAGGTCCCATCCTAAACCCAGAAAAGCACCCTCAAGCCATAACAGACCCGCCTGCATTTTTGACAGTGGGCAAAGTGTACTTGGGGTTCAATCTTTGTCCACTAGGACGTCTAACGTAATGAACACGATCTGATCCAAACATATTGAATTTGGAGGATTCGTCACTGAAACATACCCTCTTCCAGTCACAGATGCTCCAATCAAGATGCAACCGTACAAATTGTAATCGGTCCTTACGGTTTTTCCTCGAGATTAGCGGCTTCTTACACGGGTGACGTGAAAATAACTTCAAATCATTTAATCTTCTACTTATAGTTTTCGTAGAAACACTGGCAATTCCTTTGGTCTCGATTTCGGCTTTTATTTGTCTTGGGGTTTTAAACGGATCTTTGGACGAAATTACTTTTATTAATCTAACTGATCTAGCATATTTAGTTTTCTAGGCCAACCACTTCTCTTAGAGGCTTCCAAGATACCTTTTTGATTAAATTTGTTCAATATTGCCCAAACTGCTTTACGCTTCAGCTTCAAATTTTTGGCAATGTCGACTTGACGTTGACTATCTTTGTATAACTCAATGATCTTAGTTTTCACATCGAAAGAAATTTCTGGACCACGCGGCATGGTCTTAAAATCACTCGACTTATTCCACAATACTTGATGAACACAAACTAATTCTCTTCTGACACGAAACTGTACTGAACTACTAATGTTGAAAAGAATTTGTCTACATATTTTTGTCCCTCATAAAAAAGTGCTTATATTCGGACTTGTATTGTGTTCATTGCAGATAATGTAAAAACAAGGAATTTAGTTTTTCTACTAATAACGCATTTGTTTATGGAGCAATGAAGTATGAATTCGTTTTCTAAAGTGTAATAGTATATATATAAGCTGAGCAGGTTAACTCCAAAACATTGTTACCATGTAATTGCAACAAATGGAGAAAATTTAGAGAAATTATTATTATTATGTTACCTAAAGAAAGTGTGATGTTCGACACAAGTTTTCCATAGCTTCTTTGCTGCTCGATGATTGGCTAATTTAAAACCAATGGTGGATTCAAACTGTTCAAATTCGCCTGGACGTATCTTGATGTAGAAATTATGACGCTTGTAACTGATTTTCAGAATCTTTGGCCAGGCAAAACGGTTTATTCTAAGTCTATCCCTATAGACAAGCAGTCCAGATGCGCAAACACCTAAAAGAAGCAGGAATTATATTATTGAACATTACTATAATGTTTTTTATTTGAAAGCTACATGCGCTAAATAAAATATAATAGAAGATTTACCTAGCATAATATCTACGCCCTCTGAATCCTTGGCAGGATGCAAGTCTACACCATACATGGCCAATTTTTTCGCATTTTCTAAGTAGTGTAGCTCAGCTTCAGCAGGATTTTGACCCCTAAAAAAACAAACCACATATTTGAAATCAAGGTAATATTGAGTTGTGACAAAATTTATAGAAATCTCGCAAATTTTTGTATGTCCGAATTATTGCGTTGCTAAATAAACTGGTGGACCGTTGCTTTTCAACATGGAAAATTTTACCCGACTCTTTAAGAACAGGTACACGGTTCGGTCGGTATATTTATTTTATTTGTCCACTTATCCAGGGTGAGCAAAGGAAGCCTTGTTTTTTAGCAAAGTTGGAGCTGTCAGATTCTCAATTTTTGATCTTGGAAATTTTTCTATGCTTTTTTTTGATCTTCGGATTATCCTAAAAAAGTGATATGTCAAATTTTTCGAAAGTTGGCTATAACTCAAATGATCGAATTTATATACATGTCTTTCGGCTTAACCCCCCCATGCAAATAGGGTTTCTTTCATCCTAACTACCTACACCTCAAACACGCAATTGCTAAGTAACAACAATATTCATTGCATCCTTGAAAATGTAATTTTATTTTCTCAGAAATATCTCGCCTTTTTCAAAAAGAACGAGAGAATTGTATAAGATTATTGGGAGAATGTCGTTTAGTGAATGATGTAGCTATAATTTATAATGTTGATAGGCCCTCAATTACCTTTTAAGGCGTATATATCAGGATACCGGGAAAACGTCCTACTTGCATGGGGGAGATAATAAAAAAAATTGGAGATCGGGCCCAAAGACATTTATTGCAGGAAGTAAGGATCCTTTCATCCAGAACCTTGGATGAAAACTTACGGCGGCACAGTGGAATACTAGCATCTAATAGTACTGTAAGAAGAACTTTAAATTCCAATTTATTAAGGTATGTAACTGTTTAATACTCTTCTTTTTCCAGCTATGCGCAGCTTCACATTCCATGAAATAGCAACAGCTGAACTTGAAATAACCTCTAGATGTAATTTTAGCCGCTATGATATTTATACCGTTAAAAAGGATTTTTTTTGGCTTTCTATTTCTGCCACCACTATATGCACCATTTGATAAAGGAACTTGATGTATGGTGCTATAAAAACCGCCCAATCGTCACTGGAATGAGACCGTAACCATGTAGTTTCGCACCAGGCATAAACTAATATTAATTACAACTTTAACGGATCTCTAATAAAACCATCCATGTCATTTAAATTCTTAGGTGTCATTTTAGACTAACATCTGTCATAGGAGGAAAATGCCAATTCAGTATGCGCAAAGCTTGGTAAAAGTTATTTTGTGATAAATTCTCTAAAAAGTCCAGTGGTATCCCGGAAAACACCATAATCAATATCTTTGACAAAAAATTTGTGCGCCACTGTTTTTTTCAATTTTTCTTATTTTTTTTCGGATGAAGTAGCTAAAAATACAACTTTTTGTCTCCTAAGTTTCTTTTATATCTGGCATCGTTTGCGAGATGAAAAATAAAAAGCATTTTATTGCATATACCATATACGACAATAACAATAAAACATTAAGGGTGGATTTCACTAGGATTGTCAAATCAACAGTCCGTTATTCTCCACCTATAGGGTAACAGTCCGCCAAATACAGCGAATGAGCTTCAAGTTCCAATCAACAAATTTTAGCAACCAATAGCTATGAAATGTTGAAAATAAAATATTCTCAAAGTATGAGATGACAGCTTGTCATTGAAACATCACCAGCTCATTGAATATAAAGAAATTACATATAATTCAGTCAAAATTTAAAAAAAGGGTTTGATTTTTGAATAAAATTAATGTATTTTTTAATATTCTCGATTGTTTATTCACGTTTATATTATTTTCTTCCATTGATATGCGATTTTACTGATCTAACATCACCTACCGTGTGTTTTTTCCTATAAACCTCTTGCAGATAGCCATTAAGCACCTACTTGATGACAGGCTCTACCAAAAAGTTCATAGATATTGCTCGTTCATTTACTTGCCGTTCATCAGTACCATTATAGCACATTAGATTAATATTCCCACAAAACCATTCAGGATTTTTGATATCCATACATCCATAAAGTAGAATATTTTTCGCTGTTCAGGAACTGAACAAACATCCACACTATATTTACAGCGATTAAAAAATACCCAAATATATGTCGTAAAGCTTCCGGCAAACCGAAATCCTAAAACTATAATTTGCAATAACTTTCTTATTTCACTTAGTACACATTCTAGGTTTTATTTATATTAGACATTATTTGAATAACAGCTTATTATTATATTTCAAAACTCCCCAACAAGTGACACATGTGTGGGATTGGGATCCGTCAACGCTTGGTCCCAGTGGAGTAAGCTCCACCAACAGTTGAAATATACTCAACTATGCTTTATAAGGCATACGTGGAATTTTTCCCAAAATCGTTGCACAGCACTTGAAAAAATGCAAATGAAAATTTAAAATTATTTCCATGACGCTCCAAATAGCTCCGTCGGTACCTACTGTTATACATCTTGACAGTAGGGATGTTCGATACGATCTTATATTTAAAAGTATCGATACTTTTGCTTCCCATACCCTATATTTGGATCGATATTTTTATATACGACATTTGGATGTACCGATACATTTCACAGGTATCGTCATCTTTCGATGCGGACTGTGTCAGAGTTATTAACTTCAGATTACTTTTCTTCAGTGTTTCCTTCTGCTGGATATCCATATTTTTATTCCCATATTTTATAGTACCGATACTTCCTAAAACGATAAGAATCGATACATATCGATACTTTTCGTGGATCGAAACAACCCTGATCTTGATTGCTTGTCGTTCTTGTTAACTGGGCAGCGGGGTGCGGTGTTGCCTTTGCTATTTTACATTTCGCTAAAATATTATGAAAAATAGAAGCTTCAAATTAAATATTGACGAATTAATGGATATGCATAGAATCTAGAATATAAATTCATATTGGAGGTTTCAGATTGTGTATGTATGGACATGAATCGGATTTTTTGGTATTTTTACAGAAATGAGAATATTTACCGAAAACGTAATCTTCCACGATTTTTCAAAATAACTTAAGCATTTCCATACTTGCCGAAAAAGAGCTGAAATTAGAAATAAAGCTAAAAGTTAATTTGGTCTTCGTAGTTTTATGCCCCATATCAATCATAACATACATATGCATACACACTCAGGCAGTCTGGCATATGAAAGGCGTAGATTTGGGTTGCCTGATTACGAACGCTCATCCTCATCCCTTACTCCGCTTGCCTTGAATTGAGTTTTGTGCGTACAAAAGGTAGACTACCGTCATAACCTCATCACCGGACAAGCAATAAAGAAACCGAAACCCGTCTGTTTTCAAAATACATATTTAATTAAAATGTGAGGTGAGTTCATGGGTAAAACAGAAAAATATTCACAATCCTATAAGCAAGAATCGAAAAAGGAGTTTCCAGAATGGTTGCAAAGTACTTTGAAAGAGCGACCAGTATGCACATTGCACAAGTTGTAATATAGAACTATGCCATCAAAAAACATGTTGTATGCGCGCTCAATACAATAAACATTTTTCATAGACGGCGCTGCGTGACTCAAAGGTCCTTGAACCACCACTGATCTTGGTATGGCATTTTCCTTATACCGAATTCGACACTATTTACCGATTGTTTTTTGCCAGCAACACTGCAGATAACTTCAAAAGCAATTGATATCCCAGACGTTTTATAATAATAGAAATAACAAGAAAATATAACAATGTTTTTGAAGATATATTTTCCTAAATAGGTATTTTGGATTCTGACTTATAATATCTAGTCGATGAATAATACATGGATGCGGATACATTTACAAATATCGATGTTTTAGGACCCAGAAATGCAGAATGTGCTGTTTGTTTACATTTTGTGTGGATTTCTAGATCATAAATTGGCAAAAATTGTTTTTGATGTGACAAAAGATGAGGAACCAGTTGGAATACGTTTCATATGCTTTTGCAAAATAAGAAAAATCGGTACATTTCTACAGTTACGTATTATGTACAACACCCTGTACGTGATATAGAGACAAAACTAGATTGCCATGCATGGACAGTCGTCAGAAACAGTGAAAATATCCTATTAAATATAAAAGCTAGAAAATCGTCCTATTATTTCTCACATTTTCATTGGTTCATTTAAATGACAGACCGTCTTTTGTGGAATTGGAAATTCTATGAAAGTTATCCTAATTCTAAATCTCAAAGACATAATATTACATCTATAATGCACCCTTATATACAAAGCAACCGCTTTTTCACGATTTTATTCAATATTTCAATAGAAATTAGCGATATTAGGATAGCTTTGACAGCTTCCGTCAAATTGCATATCGATAAGCTGCTCCCTAATTGGTCGAAGGCCCGTCAGATTTAAAGCTTTGTGAAAACATTAGACAAAAGTCATCTCCTGAATTTTTTCGCGCATATTTAAAACTGATTTCGATAAAACAAAATAACACAAACTAATCGAATAACGAAATAATTTTATTCATAACAGCAATGTTTCAAAAGTAACAAAAAATTAACTTATGAACAGTGGAGATGAAAAATAGTAATCATTTATTAATTTATGGGATAATGAATTTCTTCAAAGCAATAAAAACATTATGTCCTCTCCATCCTAAAACACAGTAATATGTGTAAGACGTGTCAATCCCTATATTTCCCTGATGCATAATGCAATTACTACGGACATGAACAAAAAATTATTAAAAATGTTTCACAGATAATGGCTTTTAAGTCCAAAAATCAAAAAAACTAGTAATTTTTATTTGTCTATTTTTCTTTTTTGACTGGCGGGGATATCTATCTGACACTCGCAGGGTTGCCAAGTCTAACGACGATCACGTCCCGTGGTGGAGGGTGCGAAATGAATCTTTTACATTTTCTGGTTTTGAATTTTTTTCGTGAAAATTTACTAGGTTTCACGATTATAATCATCTTTGGTAGATTGTTCGATCCGGAATGGGAAAGACCTCCTATTTATGAAAATATTTTTGGTATCATCTAACCATTGCAATCTGTGACATATGATTTATAGCATATATGATGATTTGGGTATGTCTGGTAACAACGTATGAAGTGAAACTTGCTAACTTCACAAATTTGAAGATTTTGTACAATTTCTTTGAAAATGATGAAAGATGTCTGATTTGGCAGGGTAATGTCGCAGCCAAATGGCAGTCATTCTTTTTGACACAGTCCGGATCGAAAGATGACGATACTCGTGAAATGTATTGATACTTCTAAATATAGGATCGTATCGAACATCCCTACTGTCAAGATGTATAACCCAAGGTACCGACGGAGCTATATTGCGGCGTCAAGGAAATAATTTTAAATTTTCATTTGCATTTTTTCAAGTGTTGTGCAATAATTTTGGGAAAAATGTCACGAATAGTCTTATAAAGCAAAGTAGAGTATATTTCAACAGTTGGCGGAACTTAGTCCACTGGGACCAGGAGGGTGAAATGGGATATTAATGCACAATCTGGCAACCCTGCCGCACCGTCACAAAATGGTAGCTTTAAGGCGTATATTTGGGAATTTATTAATCGCTGTGAATATAGTGTGGATGTTTGTTCAGTTCCTGAACAACGAAAAATATTCAACTTTATGGATGTATGGATATCAAAAAACTTGAATGGTTTTGTGGGAATATCAATCTAAGGTGCCATAATGGTTCTGATGAATGGCAAGTAAATGAATGAATGTTTGGAAACAAGCAATATCTTTTGGTAGAGCCTGTCATCAAGTAGGTGCTTAATGGCTATCTGCAAGAGGTTTATAGGAAAAAACACCCAGTATCACATATCAATTGAAGAAAATAATATAAACATGAATAAAAAATCAACAATAGAAATTAAAACATGAATTTAATTCAAAAATCAAACATTTCTTAAAATTTTGGCTGAATTATATGTAATTTCTTAATATTCAATAAGCTGGTGATGTTTCAATGACAAGTTGTCATCTCATACTTTGACAGTATTTTGATTTCAACATTTGATAGCTATTGGTTGCTAAAATTTGTTGATTGGAATTTGAAGCTCATTCGCTGTATCTGACGGTCTGTTACCCTATAGGTGGAGAATAACGGACTGTTGTTGGTGAAATTGGGCCTAAGTGTAGTTTTAAAAAGACGTTTTTCCGGTTCGATTTTTTTTTCAACTTCAAGCATTACCAATGTGCAACTCTACATTGCAACAATAAATAACGTTATGTAAATATTTTATGTTTATTTGTTTTATCGAAATCAGGTATAATCTGAGCAAAAGAATTCAAAAGACGACTGTCGTGTAACTTATCAAACACATGCAATAAAGCACTTTCTATTTCCTTTCTCGCAAACAAGCGAGATATGAAAGAAACTCAGGATACAAAAAAGTTGTATGTTTAGCTGCGTAATTCGAAACAAATTGAAAAAAGTCAGTAGCGCAAAAATTTTGTGTCACGCCACTGGACTTCATAATTTCAATCTAATTGAGGCTAAATTAGCCCCTGACTGCCCTTAATACCACTCTTAAATTTGAACAAAATCGACTGAAAGTTTATTAGGATGTTTAGAAAAAACCGATTTAAAAAAAAAGTTTGACACCCTTTATATTGAAAATGAAGCATTTCTGGACCTATGTTTATATGAACTTTTCATCTTAAAATTACTTAAAGAATCACCTCCTGGCGTTTGGCCACATACTTAAATAACACCCTGTATTTTCAAGCTATTAGTGTATTTTTCCAAAATAAAAACAAATTCAAGACATTCCGATATGCATAATTACAATACTCGTAACAAAGACAATTGAATTAATAATAAATTTCATCAGATTAAGTCTCCAGTGTATGCTGTATGTATGCTTTTTAACCTGCTTCCAGTCGACATCGTTGAATAGCTTTAAAAGAAAGGTAAAAAACATTTTATTGGAAGGCAGCTTTTACAGTATTGATGAGTTTATCGCTTATTTGAAAAACTAATATACACTTGTTTGTATCTTTTTATCCTACTATCGCCCCTCACGTGTTTTTTGATGGTTGTACATTGAACCAATTTTTATTTCTTTTTTGTTTGACGCATTCCATGTCATCGCTTGATAATTCGTTGAATAAAGAAATATTATTATTATTTGATTTCCTAAAACTGTTGTTTTTCTAGCACTAGTTTCCGAGATATTTGGGTGTGTCCATTTTGGCACGTCCCGCATAACAATGTATATTACTTTTTTCTCCTGTATCAATTTTTCTATTTATGATATTATGAGATATATTATAGACATACTTGTGCGTTCTATGCAGCTCCATAACCTTCTCTTCGAGATCAGGCGTTTGGTTGGGTGCAAACTTGAAATCTCTCAGATAATTTTTGCCCATCGTGTCAGGATCGTAATCGCCCAATTCGGACTGCACCAAATATGATCCCAGAAGGGCATGGGTGACAAAAGAGCAGGGCAAACGGTTGCTCAGAATGTCGTTGCGGATCTGGAGGCAAAGATGGTAGCGGGTGATGTCCTCTTGAAGTTGTGCTGGATCGGGCGGATAAAATTTCACCTCAAAGTTCAGCTTCCATGGCTCAGCTGTAAACACACGTATCGGTTCAGCACAGTAATTCATTTAATATCTGAATCTTATCCGCCTATTATGTACAAAAAAAACGTCACAAAAAAACAACGAAATGTCATGTTGCAGACTAGGTAGTTATTAGGGTACAAATAGTCCATTCCACGTTTTTTCGCTACGATCGATGTGAGCGTCCATCTACGGAGGAATGACTTATATACACGCATTGTTGGTTGCACGTACATGTTTTGTGAAGCCGGATAGTCTGTAGTGTTTATCTCTGAGAAGCTGTGAAAGAAAGAAAGTTGGTTGAATAGCAAGATCACATCTGGATGACTGCGTATTGGTTTGCATATGCATAAAATCAGTAATATTTGCTATGAGAGAAAATTATCACTGAACATCCGGCCAATGAAGTATATCTATTAGCTGTACCCGACGGGTTATTTATATGTTGTCCTCTCTGAAGACATGTTATGTTCAAAGTTATAAATTACGATTTTTCCCGTTTTTTGTGTTTTCAAAAACTGGAGGAGCATTACGGGAAATCGCCACCGCGCCCGCAAAGTGTGCAATTAAGCCACATCACAGAAAAATTATGAATGACGTATCACACTTTAAACATTTTCGCAGTGCCTCACATCTACGCGCTGATTTGAATTTTCTAGTGACATCGCAAAATAAATTTCTATAAAATTTAAATGACTGAAAATACGAAATAATGTAATAACGTCTCTCATCTGTTACTTGGCCAACCAGGGATTTTCTTCTCTTATCTCTCTCATTTTTGATATTCATCAAATTTGCAATATGAAATGTAATCCAGAATAAATAAGAAAAAGTGGACGTGCAACTAATTTCTACCTTTGAATAGTATATATATATATATATATATATATATATATATATATATTAAGTGACATATAAATCCGAACATCCAGTTTAAATGGTTTTATTTTAATAAAAGTTGGTGAATGTATTTATCTTACTGTAAATAAAAAGTGAAAAAATGTTCAGCCTTATCAGTTGGACATTCCGGTTTTTATACTGCTTTTTTTTAATTCACTAACGCTCTAAAAATGAATATTTCAGCCGCAGTAAAGAATCAACGTTGGCGGATTTTGGTTCTTGACATCCTTTACGATCGGTTACGATGCCTAGAGTACGGAGACCTGTACGATTTCGTCAACTTAGTGAGTTTGATAGGGGCCGTATAGTGGGACTTCGGGAAGCTGGACTTTCTTTTCGGGCAATTGCAGTTAGAGTGCAAAGAAGTGTAGACACTGTGGTTAGGTGTTGTCAGGCATGGCTTCGAGAAGGCCGTACGCAAAGAGCAAGGGGCACTGGACGCCGCCGTAGAACAACAGACCGTGAAGATCGCCGCCTAAGATTATTGGCCTTAAGCGACTGTTTCTCCACTACCAGGTCCATCGCAAATGAATGGTTTGCAGAACACGGAAGACCTATTGGCATGTGAAGTGTTTACTGACGAATGAGAAGTTTTGGCTTGTTTTCATACCGGCCACACTGGGTCCTCCCTTTAACTCGAGAACACCGACGTAATTGCCTTGAGTGGTGCGGACAACGGTCACTCTGGGATCAGGAATGGAACAGTATTGTCTTTAGTGACGAGTCTCGATTTTGTTTAGGCATGCACGATGGTCGTGCCAGGGTTAGAAGGCTACGTGGTGAAAGGAGGAATCCACAGTTTTTTGTTGAAAGACATGTTCATCACACTGTTGGAGTTATGGTTTGGGGTGCTATAGCTTATGGTTCCAGGTCACCTTTAATCTTCATCAGAGGGAACATGAACGCGCAGCGTTATATCCACGAAGTTCTAGAACTCCATCTTTTATCCTATCTTGACACCCTGGCAGATCCAACTTTCCAACAAGATAATGCCCGACCACATGTTGCAAGAGTCACAATAGACTTCTTTCAACATGATGTCACATTGTTACCATGGCCACCAAGATCTCCCGACTTATCCCCAATTGAGCGCGTGTGGGATATGATGGGTAGGAGATTGCTCAATTTGCAACGTCCTCCTCAGACTCTAGAAGCACTTCGAGAGGAGTTGGTGGTTGCCTGGAACGAGATACCACAGGAGGACATTGACCACCTGATCAGAAGCATGCCTAGGCGCGTTGGAGAATGCGTAGCACATCAGGGTGCATCCACACATTATTAAAGGTCAAAGGGCTTTAAAGCAGTGCAATCATTTTGAAATTTTTATCATTTACTTATTATGCTTCATTAAGTACTTATACAAAATTTTATTAAAATAAAACCATTTAAACTGGGTGTTCGGATTTATATGTCACTTAGTATATATATAGTAAGTGTATTTGTGACAAGAAACCAATGGAATTATCATCAACACATATTATTAGCACTCAAATCCTTACTATGCACCTACGCTCTGCCGTTTCCTTCCAGCTATAGTATACAACTTACAGTTTAGACCTCCAACAATGTCACCTCTGAAGCAGATGTTACATTACATCAGATCCAAACATTGATAACTGAAGCATAATGACGTTTAGGCAACACGTAGAACTACAAAACGAGTTCACAAGTGTCCATCAGCTAGAGCTAAGTTAACACCTTGTAGAAAAACCGACGTTATGTCAAAAAAAAAAGTTAAGGTATGTCAAAAAAATCGACGAAATATCAATTTTCAAGATACATAATACCCATGCCGTGATATATCGTAGGTTTTTCTACAAGATGTTAACTTAGCACAAGCTGTTGTACGCTTGTTGTGAACTCGTTTTGTAACTGTACGTGTTGCTCAAACGTTAGCGAACAGCGATCATAGCGAACATACTATACGTGGAATGAACTAAAAACTACCTAATCTGAAAGATGACATTTCGTCAGTTTTACTTAACTTAACTTAACAAAAGTATCATCTCTGACTAACAAACAACAGTAATTGTACAAGATCTGTCGCAAAGTAGATATTACAAAAAAATTAACAAACATTTTTATATTTTATTCAAAATAGTCTCCTTCAGAGTTAATGCAGCGTCTTGCATGGACCAAAAGATTTTCGAATGATAATTTTAGATCATTGACCGGGATGTCCTTCAAAATGGTCGACGCCTTTTGGGGATGGCCTTCACGTCGGCATACCGCTGACCCTTCATGGCCAAATGTTGTTTACCGAACAGAAAATATTCACACGTTGTCATATCAGGTGAATATGGCTACTGGTTAAAATGCCATTTTTATCAAAAAATCGGGCACAATCGTCGATCGATGAGATGGTGCATATCGTGCAACAAGCACCAGCTTTTTTTTTTTCGCGATAGTCTGGCCGAACACGACGAATACGTGACAGCAAACGCCTCGATAACACCGAGATAAAACACAGCATTAACCGTTTCGCCCGGTGGAACGAATTCTTTGTGAATAATTCCCTTCCCATCATTATCTTAACTTTGGGCTTTTCCAAACAGCTTTTTTTCAGATTTGGCTCACAATGTTGTACAGAAAGTTTTTGTTTTGGACTCTTTACTGATGTCTCGCGAATCTTGAATTCAAAGCAATTTTTGGTCATCCGTGAGCTTGTGCGGAACAAACTGTGATCACACCTTTCTCATGCCCAAATTCTTGGTCAAAATGCGATAGATTGAATCTTTAGAGATATTTAGTTGCATTTCTATGTATCTCAAAGAAGATTTTGGGTCATTTCTGATAAATTCACGCAATCTTTCAACGGTTTCTTACGTAATCACAAATTTTGGTTGGCCAACATTTTTGTCGTCTTCCAGCGACTCACGACGCTCTTTGAACCGTGTAAACCACTCGTGGACTCGGCTACGAGATAAACAATCATCACCATACACTTGCATCAACATCTGATGCGTTTCGGTAAATGTTTGACCAAGTTCAACACTGAACTTAATATTGGCTCTTTGTTCGATGCTCATTTTTACACCGATGCTAAAAAAATACTGTCACTTTGTTGAAATTTTGACAGGGCATCTATGAAAGACGTACCTACCCAACGCTCCGATAATAGATGGCGCTACTTGTATCGGATATCTTGTCCTGTTTTCTTTGCGACAGACCTTGTAATTTTTCACATTTTCATTTTATTGATTTCCTCAGTAAATTGATATATTTTGTTAATATTCATAATATCCATTTCCTATAGATTTTGGTTGACGCCGCGCTCGCTCTCTTCATATACACAGAATCAAACTTATTACTATGGGATTTGAAGAATGTACAATACCTTTCATAAACTTTGAAATTCGTTTTTCTAAGTCCAGCCAATTTCTTGGATCATGCCTGTCGGGATAGGTTAATCCAAAGTAATCTTTCTCGATCAAATTTATAGCTTCGCATACCTTATCTAGCAGTTCTCTGCCCTTAGCTTTTCTCTGAAAAATAAAATAAAAGCTCTAATGAACACGCAGCCGAATAACCTTATAAAAACAAACTTTTTGCCAAGAAACTATCGAACTGTTTCGGAGCCAGACATTTGTCTGTGCGGTAGGATAATAAGCATTATAATATTAGTAATAATCTTCATTGGAACAGGTTTGCTTCCAAACACAGGAACAACCGATAATAGTAATAATAAACATTCAGTTCTAGAGTATCTTGTGTATAAAAGTTCATTTTACAAAATGCATTTAAAACACAATGAAAAACATTATTATAGAAAATAAAGACATTAACATGACAGTAAAATTCACACAAAAAAATAAATATCTAAAAGTTACGGCTCCATTTACAAAAATAAACATTACGGGTTAAGTACGCCATATTTTGTTTAAAACTAGTTAAAATCACCTAAATGGTATCATTATTGATATCGCATCCTTGTCGATAAGTGAGGAGCAGACTTGCAAAATGCATTTTGTCCAAATTTTCCATATTTGAGATACAGGTGGCGCTGCATTCCTATGATGAAATACTATCTTTTTTTAAACATTTGAACAGTCAAAATGTATTTAGTCCCCGTGTTATTGAGGGGAAAATTATACCTAGACAAACAAACTGATTTAAGTCCACTCACATGGTACTTTCAAAGTGCATTTTGTCCATAAACGTTGACAAAATGCATTTTGATGGGGTTTTTGTTTATTTTATCAGAATCTGTTGTTATAGTTCGGTGTTACCTTGGAGACTTTTTCAAGTTTTAATTGTTAAAACATTGAAGTAGTGTTGCTTTTGGATCAAAATGGAACAGTTAGAAGGGGAGCATATTGTTGGTGATAGTGTGGATAGGGGTAGTAGGAAAAGAAAAAGGAATACAACAAGCCGTGAGAGAAAAAAACAAATAAGGTATTTGTTAGGTTATAAGCCTAAAATATTTTATTATTTTCCGTTTCACTTTTAAGGTATTCCAATTTGGACATCAATCTAGACAATTTCAACGTAGTTTGTAATCATAAAAATTCTAATCTTGATTGCGAAGAATTATCGAAAGGAGCTATGCTGAAAATCCGCCAAACCTTTTTCGAGAGTCCTAACAAAATTACGCAGGACAACTTGCTTGCAAGCTACATGGAGATTAAGGAGCCAAAACGAAAACGAAGTCGCAAAGAAAATGGAAAGTCCCATAATTTTTCCGTAAATTATTTCGTAAGTATAACCATCTGAAATGTATTTTAAACTGTGACTTACTCTCGTTTTTTTTCAGATATTTTTTGAAGGTGATAAAAAACAAATTTGCCAGAAACTATTTAGAGCTATGTTCAGCGTGTCTCAAAGGCGAATAAACACAATATGTCAGAAAATAAAAATGGGATCAAGTCTTACTGAAAAAAGAGGAGGCGATAGAAAATCTCACAAATTTATCAACAAATTAAATGAGGTGAAAAAGTTTATAAGCAACCTGAAAGGGAAAGAAAGTCACTACAGCCGTTCTAAATCAAGAAGAATCTACTTGTCTGCCGAATACACCATTGCTAAACTTTGCAACTTCTATAATGAAAAAGTGACTAATGAAAAAAAAGTAAATTATAAATACTTTAGCAGGGTCTTCAGTAATCACTTCAACATAGGCTTTGGTAGCCCGGCTACAGATGTATGTAATTTTTGTGTTAAAACAGCAACGCAAATCGGTAATGCGAGGAATATTATCGATAAAGGCCAACTTGAGACCCAGTTAAAAGTTCACAAGGTTAGAGCATCTCAGTTCCATAAAATGATGAAAGAAGCATCTCCTAACTCAGTGTCTTTTTGTTTTGACTTGCAACAAGTGCAGGTTCTCCCAAAAGTTCCCATACAAGATGCTTTTTATGCACAGCAGCTGTCATTTTACTTTTTTTGCGTTACAGCCACAAACTGTAAAAACCCTGTTTTTTATTCATGGATGGAACACCAAGCTGGCAGGGGAGCGACAGAAATATCTTCCGCCCTGCTTGATTTTTTGAAAAAGACCAATTTTTCCCCGAATATAGACACTCTTCGGCTCTTCTCCGATGGATGCGGGGGGCAAAATAAAAATAGCTTTACCATCCACATGCTAATGTTATGGTTACACCGCTTTGCTCCAGAAACAATTAAAAAAATAGAAGTTATCTTCCCAGTGCGAGGACACTCTTATCTTCCGGCAGATAGAATTTTTGGGAGGGTGGAAAAGATTTTAAGACGACACGCGGTCATAAAAACACCTGAAAAATATTGGGAACTCTACAAACAAGTAGGTGAAATCAGAAAACTTGGAACTGATTGGTCATTGGTGAATATAAAAGAAGCTTCCATCTGTTTGAAAAAAGTCCTAGGAATTAGTTCAAGTAAAAGAATAATCATCAAACGGGGAAAGCCCTCAGGCGTTGTGGTGAAATCTGAATTGCTGTATCGAACGGATGATCCAGCGAAAAAATTCCAAACTTTGTTGAAACCTAAAAAGCGGTTGGATCAAATTGAACTTCCTAAAGTACGACTTGGACATGAAGTAAAGCAGAAAAAGCTTGATAGTCTAAAAAACCTACTTGTTTCATTGTCTGGTGACAAATGGTATGAAACAGACCCGCAGCTGAAATGGATGGCTGAAATATTTGAGAAAACTGTGGCAAACTGTAATGATGACGATGAAGAGCACGAAAATGACGAAGAAGCTTGTGGATGCGCTGAGAATGATGATAATGAATTCCTTTAAAAATAAAATTGTTTACTCCTAATATTATTGTAATACTTACAAATTTTGTTTTGTTGTTTCAATATACACCTTTTTTTAAATAAAACCAAATTTTTTATTATTGTTAACTTGACAATGACATTTAAATTGCATTTTGTCCACTAGAGACAATCAAACTGCATTCTGTCCAACAATTTTTTCAATTTTTTCAACTTGTTTTTCGACTTTCTTGTACCAAAACTTGTGATTGAGGTCGATACACCTGATAGCATTATATTATCCAGAACAAAATTTTCTGTCATGGTTAGCTTTTCTGTACTGGTTTTTTGCTTCTCCTGAAAATTGGTAAAAATGGACAAAATGCAATTTGCAAGTCTGCTCCTCAAGTGTCAAACACATTACGCATCCTATTAACAGGAGACATGTCTGATATGTTGGTTCTACCCTTAGTGCTGGCACCAAAAAATAGGTTTTAGATAATGATTCAGGGCAATCAAGTTTATTATTAACCATACTATGGAGCACTCTAATGTCATTTAATTGACGAAGGATAAACCAATATATCAAAATTCATATTGTGTGGGAAGCATCTTCCAGGATATACAGGGTGTTCAAAAAATAGACGGATATATTTTAGAGGATGATTCCTTGTTGAATAATATGAAAAAAAGGCTATATAAACATGGGCCCGGAAATGCAGTTTTCAAGATGCAGGGTGATAAATTTAAAAAAAAATATCTTGAAAAATATTTACTTGATTCTGTTGAAATTTGGCAATATTATTTGTTGTATTCAAGAGTCTAATTTAGCCCTAAACAGATTAAAATTATTAGGCCCAGTGCAGCGCAAAATTAATACGAACAAACTCAGGGACAATCATGCACAAGCAAGATTCCAAAACCTTTTAGATAAAAAGCTTGAACATCACCTAAAAGATGTAAATCATCGCAATATCCACACATTATGGGACATAGTTAAAACATGTATATTGAGTAGCACAGAAGACGTGTGTGGAACAAAGGTAGAAAACAACATTAGAAAGCAAACCGCGTGGTGGACAGGTGATATAAAAAATTCAGTAAAACTGGAAAAGAAGGCGTGGAAAATATACCTAGCAGAAGAAACCGTTGAATCTTACGAGGAATATAGAAAACATCGGAAAAAAGTAAAGCAGAAGATGATAAATGCAAAAATTCGGAGGAAACATTTTATGGGAATCAAAAATTATTCTACAGTGTTGAAACATATAAGACGAAAAAATAACAATGAACTGGACTAAATTAAAGATAAAAACAGACAGCTAGTAACACAGGACGAAAAAAGCATGGAAAGATGGAAGAACTATTTTAGGGAGTTATTAGGAGGGGAAGAAAATATGTAAAATCGAGTAAGGGATGAGTTAATTCAAGAAATTAGGACAAATAGTGACATTGTAGCAGATCCTATTACCGAAGAAGAATTAGAAAAAGCAGTAAGGAAACTTAAAGTAGAGAAAGCTCCAGAGCACGACAGAATAACAGCAGATATGGTAAAGTATATGTGAGGCGTAGGAAAAATAATATTTTTAGAGCTGAAGAGAACGAAATACCGAAGGACTGGGCAATAATACTACCATTATTTAAAAAGGGAGATACAAATGTATGTGAGAACTACACAAAAGCATTTCTCTATCAAGTATACCAGAAAAAGTTTATGAGAGCATACTAACCGAAAGACTAAATGGGGAAATAGAGCACAACCTGAACGAATCACAACGTGGATTCATAGAAACAATAGTAGATAATAACGAAACAATATATTGGTGCTTCATAGATATATCAAAACCATTTGATTCAGTGGATAGAATGGACCTATGGAGTATATTAAACAACCATAATGTGAACAAAAATTTAATAGAAACATACAAAGCCTATATAAGAGTAGGACGATCCTGTAATAACAAAAAATAAAAAATCTGAAAAATTTGTAACTACATCAGGAGTGAGACAAGTAGGAACGTTGAGCTTATATCTATTCATAGTACTAATGGATAAAATTATAAAAGAATATAGAAACAGACTCAAGAAAACAACGTGGGGATACTATAATATGGAGAGGGTAAATATTAACCGAATGGTGTTCGTAGATGACCTAGTACTGTTAGCAAACAAAAAAGACCTCAACATAAGCTTGAGATATGGAATGAGGAACTCAGAAAATATAAACTAAAAATAAATATGAACAAAACAAAATATATGGGTATTTCTAAAGACCCACAATACATAGAAATCTGATTAGAACAACATATAATACAACGAATAATAAATTTTAAATATTTAGGAATAATGGTAACAGAGGATGGAAAGGGTGAGGCAGAAATAGAAGATAGAATGAAAGCAACAAGATTATACTTCCAACTAAATAAACACCTATTTAACAAAAAAGAAATATCTACAAAAACAAAAATAGAATGTTCAACTCACTGTATATCCCTACACTAACATATGGTTCAGAAGTGTGGATATTGAGTAAAACACAGAGGCAGAAAATACAAGCAAGTAAAATGAAACTGCCAAGAAGAATTGCGGGTCTGAAGATTACGGACAAAGTCAGAAATGTAGAAATTAGAAGAAGATTAGGTGTCATATCTGTAGAAAAAAATACAAGTGAATGCGCTAAGGTGGTTTAGACACATGATTAGAATGCCAAATAAACGAAAAGGGTCTGTAGAATGGGAAAATTCGTGAAAAAGACTAAAGGAAAACCAAGAAGTTAGTGGAATGAGTAAATAGAGTTGTACTTAAGACAAATGCATTTGGACTGGAAAGCAGCAGGAGGACTAGCTAAAGACAGAACGAAATGAAGAAAGAAAATAAGAGAAGTGTAAAAGATATCAAATACTACAATGGCTAGATCCGGTAGAAGAGGAACGGAATAAGTAAGTGACAAGAATAGTAGGCTTTTCACTTATTCCTATTCCATGAAAGGTAAGCCTACAGTATTATTTTAGTATGAGTTTTACAAGAAACAAATAATTTGATATGCTATTAACATTCGGCGAATGCAGAAAAAATTCTAGAAATGCTTGAGCGTTGTACGCTCAGCGATATTCTAATAGAATACACCCAAGTTATTCATACTTTTTCAAGTTAGAGGAAAATTTTAGAGATGAAGAGGTCTCTTTCGTAGTAAGTGAAGAAGCGGAGATAAATGTTTTGGCATATGTTCACTTTGGCCCAACCGTATCTACTAGGCAAGTGGAACAAGCAACAAATGTAAATCGTGAGTCAGATTGACAGATTTTGAAGAAACATGGATTCCATTCATATACATATCAGGTACTAGATTGGCCTATTGTAACTGGTTTCATGCTCAACTTCAAGACGATAGAAATGGTCATTATCATATTTCGTTGTCTGATGAATCGCGTTTCACAAATCTTGGATAATTTAATGGAAATGATGTGGCGCCCGCCCACAACACCAGAGAAGTTGCAAGATATTTAACGCATAGATTCGGGAATCGTTGCCTAGGAACAAACGGTCCTATTAGGTGGTCCGCACGATCACCCGACTTAACCATTTTAGAGTTTTTCATTTGGGCCTACTTTATATCATGTCTCCTATAAATCTGTTAGATTCAGAACAGCAAATAACGGCAGCAATTAACACCTTATCTGACGATTTTTTAAACAATGGACATGCAGAAACCATAAGAAGGTTCAATAAATGCTACGAAAATAATGGAGGAAGCATTGAACTTATTAGCTTTAATATGAATCTTTAATAGTTTTTAATTTTGTAATATTTTTTTTATAACTAGAATATTTGGGCAAAATAGGTAGAATATGATAATATCAATAATTTCAGTTTGTAGTAATCAAAGGGAGTTTTGATAGTCTGTTATTATAAAATAGAAAATGAAAACATTTTTTATTACTTTGTCTGGAACTACGAGCCCCTTCCCACTTCAGTTGGCCCACTTCAAGATTTGTACCAAAATATGCCTTTATAAACTAAACATGACGAAACTACTTACTTCTAAAACAATGTGCGAATAAATTTCGCGAACTTAACAAAGCAACAATTGAAAGATTACCATTGGATAATATCACCTTTATTTTTTATTATGGCTGAAATTCTTTGGGGCATAGTGTTAACTAAGTTTTGGAAATAATTTGGTGTAAGAAAATCCCATATTTCTTGAAGCTTTTGTCTCAGTTCGGTGATTGTACGAGCAGGATGTTGTCGTAGAACCTTTTTCATCTCGTGCCACAAAGTATCAATAGGTGACAGATCTGGACTGCTAGAAACCCATTTTAAAAGTGGTACATTATTTTCTTCCATCCATTTTATAGCCTTTTTGAGGTATGGCACGCTGCACCATCTTGCTGAAACACAAAATCTTGGCCGGATGTCAAACATTCTTCCATCTCTGGTAAAAGCGATTCTTCTGAAATTGCCAAATATTTATTTGTATCCACATTTTCATCAATAAAATGAAGTTTTCCTACTCCTTTTGATGACATACTGCCCCAGACCATAATGGATGCTGGAAATATCACTTTTCTCTTCAGATAATCAACATGGAATAATTCATTTTTTTGCGAATAACTCTACTGCGACTGTCACCAACATAAACTTCGAATCGGGCCTCATCACTCCATTTTATTGCACACCATTGTTGAGGTGTCCATTGTCTATGTTCTTATCCCATCTAAGCCGATTTTTTTTTGCAGTGGAGTTAATAGTGGCTTTTCTTTGGGCTATAAACAAGTTGTGCAACTTTAAGGTTTTTACTTCACTTTTTTTATAAGAAAACTTACCTTGCAAGTGCTAAATCCCAGTTTGTGGGCCTCTCTATGACTTGTGGGCCTCGAAATTCAACTTCCAACAGCGTCACTCCACAGAGCACTTAATTGTAAATAATTGGCACGCCTATTTTTCACGATTATTCATCTTAATGCTCTTCGGTCGGCATTTGTGATATTACTTTTTTTCACATATCGTGGCTTAATATTAACTGAACCAGTTACGTTATATCTTCTAACAATATTTCTCACACTGTACCGCGATAAGTCTGACAAAGTTGCAATTTCTGAGTTTGATTTCCCAGAATTAAAAAATTTAGTTATCAGTAACCGAATTTTCTCACTAATGACCTTTCCTCTACCCATTTTGAAAACCTTAACTACCCAAAACTATTTTAAAAGTATTCTGACAGCTGTGATTAATAAAAACAATTGTCATGGCTTTTATTTTTCACAGCCACCTATGCGTTATAGACTTATTTTGCATTGAAATAAAAATAGGTTGATATGCTGTAATTGCAACATGTGTTATTTTTATGCTGCAAATTTGATTAGGGAGTGATAAAGTTGATGTTTTCTACTAGATATTATCAAAATATTCATTGTTAATATTTTAAACCTATAACACCCTGCTACATTTTTATTACTTGTGTTTGATAAGAAAAAAACTAAGATTTCAATAGTTGGGCCATCTGAAGTGGGAAGGGGCTCGTATATCTTTTTATTTTGATCACATCGCGAGCTTGACAGTTTAAAATATTTTTTTGTCTTGTAAGAAATATGGCGGCACAAATTACTTTCTACCGCCGTCATTTTAAAACAAAAATATCGCTAAATGGTAAGTAAGTAATGCTAAAAGCAAAAGGCATATTTTTGTTTAAATGCATATTCACTATGAGTATATACGATAAAGACAATAGAAGCAGGCCATGGAACACAACAAAACAATTATCTAATCAAAGCATAAATAATCCTCAAATTCTCAATAGTGGTCAATAGTTTCGCGTTATTTTGAACAATTTTTGTGCTTACCAAATGCGTTTTACGAACGATGAAGCTGTTGATATGCTTGCAGTTTATTTTGAATGTCTTCAGAATGCCGCAGTAACAAAAATAGTTTACGCGATTCGAAAGGGGCTCGTATATCTTTTTATTTTGATCACATCGCGAGCTTGACAGTTTAAAATATTTTTTTGTCTTGTAAGAAATATGGCGGCACCAATTACTTTATACCGCCGTCATTTTAAAGCAAAAATGTCACTTGTGACACATCGTAGGAAATGGAATTTTGCATAGAGTACGATTATAGAAGAAAATATACAGGTTTCCATCTGAAAAACGGTGAAATTAGAAGGGTGAGATAACCTATTCAACTTTCTAGAAATACACCTTAATGACTAACTAAACATGTCCCAGTCTTGGAGCGATATCGTTATTTGCAAAAAAAAACAGCGTGTTTCCGATTTTCATTGTCACCCAGTAGGGAATCTGAAACCAGAACAGATAGAAGGGAGGAAATCGATGAGGACTTACGTCAATAGAGATGTCCAATACGGAGCCATCCAGCATCGTAACTTGAGCCAGAGCTGTGCCGCCACCAGTCCCCTTGTTGGCGGCGGGCTTAGAATTGTTGTGATCTCCGTCGATTGCCATCTTCTTATCTTCAGGCATCCTCGCCTATCACCCTGGAAACATGAACGGTTAATTGAGGATCCGCAATACCAACATACTCCTACGTAAACGTATGTGTGGATCCATAATAACTCATTTATTTTACTTCCTACGCCACCGTAAGTATTGTAATCGCGAGAAATTTGAAAATGAGATGTTATGTTTTTTGGATGTTATATGACATGTACAGGGTGGCCAACTAAGCATGCGAGGTACTGTATCTGGGAACCTATCCATGGTAGAGGCTTGCAGCAAAAACAGTTCTTACTAAAAAGGCCAAGAGAAAAACATGACAAATATTTTCAAGTTTCTTAAGTGGCCGCTAGGGGGCTCAACTGCAATCTTGAATCTAAAAAAGTGATGTTGATCTTAACAAACGTGACCTAGTTTAAAAGAGCTATTCTTAGGCTACAAATGTTACAATATTTTAAGTTTTGTTAGTCTCACATGTGGCCGCTAGAGGGCTTTTTTGACATTCCGATTTTTTTATGAAAAATTTGCTAAATGATGTTTAATCAAGCTCGCGAAAACTTAATCTCGATATCTTGCATCTAAACTAAAATTTAGGCCAAAGAAAGTTTTATACAGAAGTCTCATGAATTTTAATTTTTTTAAACTAATTTTTATGGAATTGCTTTTTATTCATCAGAATAAAATCACCCTGTTTGAAAGTATTAAAAAATATCGCTAAATGGTAAGTAAGTAATGCTAAAAGCAAAAGGCATATTTTTGTTTAAATGCATATTCACTATGAGTACATACGAAAAAGACAATAGAAGCAGGCCATGGAACACAACAAAACAAATATCTAATCAAAGCATAAATAATCCTCAAATTCTCAATAGTGGTCAATAGTTTCGCGTTATTTTGAACAATTTTTGTGCTTACCAAATGCGTTTTACGAACGATGAAGCTGTTGATATGCTTGCAGTTTATTTTGAATGTCTTCAGAATGCCGCAGTAACAAAAATAGTTTACGCGATTCGATATCCAAATTGGCGTCTTTGCGATGTGAGTTTTTCCCCGATTATTGGTGAGCTTACGAACCAATGGTAGTTTTCGGCTTACGTTTCAACAGCAAAGACTTGGAAGAACACGAGGAAATATTAACCGCAAACTGGGATATACTGAAGGAAATCCTCATTTTAGCACAAGGCCTTGAGTTAGGCATATCACGAACAACGTTTCAAAATATTTTTAAGGACCATGGATAAGTTCTGATGACCATCACAATCTAGGGATTTATTAAATTAATTTTAAGTTTGACTTTTTTAATTGCATATAATGTTTTGCATCAGACCTTGAAAAACGAAGACTTTGATCGGAGATTGGACTATTACTATTGGATGCTAGGCATGGTATTCGAAAATAGAGAATTTTTATTTCAAATCATTTAGCCCGATCAAGCCACCTTTAATAGTGACGGGAGAGTCAATCTGCACAATATGCATTGGTTGCTTGTGGTGTGGCATACTGGAAAGGAGAATTATTGGGCCATATTTTTTAGAGCAATCCCTAAATGGAACTGTCTTTATTGACTTTTTGGACAATCGATTACAGTTGTTGTTGAAAGATGTGCCAGCATGTGCCAGTGTGCCACTGAAAACACGGCAAAACTTGCTTTTGCAGTTGGATGTTGCCCAGCACATTTGCTATTATTGTCAGAGAGCATATTAATGCAGTATTTCAACACCGGTGGATTGGAAAGAGAAGCCTTTCCATGGCCTTCGCGATCACCAGACTTAAGTTGTCTTGATTTTTATTTATGGGGACGGTTAAAGGATATCGTGTTTCAGACTCGACCTACAACCAGAGAAGATATGAAAAACCGGATTCGTATTGCAATACGTTTTTTTAGGGCCACAACTTAATAATAACAAGAAATTCCAGAAAAATTAGTTTAAAAAATACAAATTTAAGGGATCTCGGTATACAATTTTCTTGGCCTAAATTTCAGGTTAGGAACAAGGATAGCGAGATGCTGTTTTCGCGAGCATATTTAGACGTCATTTAGCTACTTTTTCATAAAAAAATCTTACCAATGCTTTTAATTTTTTTTTAAATTAACCATTTCTGTCGAAATGTCAAAAAAGCCCTCATGTGAAACTAATAAAACTTGAAATGTTATAACATTTGTAACCCAATAATAACTCTTTTTAACTAGCCCAAGTTTGTTAAAATCAACATTACTTTTTTCGATTCAAGATTGCAGTTACGCCCCCTAGCGGCCACTTCAGAAACTTGAAAATATTTGCCAGGTTTTTCTCTTGGCCGTATTAGTAAGAACTTTTTTACCGCAAGCCTGGATGGATAGCTTCCCAGATACAGTACCTCACATTCTTAGTTGGCTACCCTGTACGTGTCATATAATATAAAAAAAAAACATATCATTTTAGACTTTTTTCGTGATTATAATACTTCCTCGCCCAGTGACGTAGGAAGTAAAAACAAATAGATAAATTCATTTTTTACTGCCGACGCCAAAAGTATGCCGCATCGCATGCAGTGAAGTTTTGCCGGGTCTATTAACTTTCGGGACCGTAAAATCGCAAAAATCGATCGCCACCCAGGACGAAAAACAAGTTCCTACGAAGCGTGCTTACCTAAAATAGGACAATGATAAACATGGGAGTGAATATTTTTCGTACCAACCAATGAGGATTAAAAGCTACATGCCACTCCTCGAATGAGAATGAATGCTGATAGCATACAAAGCTTTGTTATACAGGTGGTACAGGATGGTACAAAAATCAGATTGAGAGTGTTGTAATAATGTGATTACCTCATAAATGATTAGTACAGGGTCCGGTACAAAGGTCGGACGGTTTTTAAAAATCACAAAATCGGTAATTCTTACTCAAAAACAAATTTATTGACGGATTCGGTTTCACAATGAAATAGCGATTGACATAATTGAGTGTGGAAAATCACATCTGTCATGTGGTGACCGTTTTTGACTATGCATTGCTGAAGGCGTTCTTTCTAAGTTCGCGTAGACTCTCTCCAACATCGTTCTCTCAACTTGCCCGACTTCCTCGCGAATTGCCTCCTTCAACTCGTCCAGAGTTCGGGGCTTGTGCTCGTATACACGAGCCTTGAGGGGTCCCCATAGGAAAAAATCGCAGATGGATAAATCTGAGGACCAAGGAGGCCAATGAACATGACCAAACGAAGGAAGAGAGGGCGTTGCTCTTGCTGTGTGGGCGGTCGCCCCATCCAGTTGGAACCACGCACGTGGGAATGGAACACGTCGTAGTCGTAATTCAGGTAAAAAGAAGGTGGTGATCATTTCGACATAGAGCTCCGAGTTCACGGTAACAGCATTGCCATGACCGTCTTCGAAAAAGTAAGGGCCGATGATGCAAGTTTGCGATACAGCGCACCAAACCGTCACTTTTGAGGTGTGGAGCGGTCTTTCATGTAACTGTCGCAGATTTTCATTAACCCAATAACGGCAATTCTGGTGGTTAACCATGCCATTGAGATGAAAGTGAACTTCATCATTCATGAACAAAATGAGGTTCTCATTTTGCTCGATAAGTGCTTCCATCTCACGTGCGAAGTTCCTTCGTTGTGCGTAATCTTCAGGCTGTAACTGTTGCACAATGGCCAATTTGTAGGGTGAAACTGGAGTTCCAAATGCAAAATGCACCTTACCGATCGATCACTGAGGCGAAGTTCAGCAGCATGTTGCCGAGCAGATCGAGCCGGACTGCGAAGGAAGACTTGTCGAACGCGTTCCACATTTTCAGTGGTTCGAACCGTTCGTGGAGCTCCTGGTGGTATTTTGTTGAACAATACACCAGGTGTGCGGAGTGATTGAACCTAACGAAGGATGGTGTTTCGAGAACGAACAGCTCGATCCTGATGAATATACTTACGCTGTACAACCGTGATAGACTCATTGTGTCGGACAAAACTGTCGTACGCGAAAACGCGGTGCCCAACCATACACTGCTCCATAATGTCTACTGGTAAAAATTCTAGGAACGCCCGACTCGAACGGCACTCTCCCCACCACTCTCACCAGAGTAGGCGGAGAGAACTAACCACTTCAAAATCATCCGGCCTTTGTGCCGGACCCTGTATAACTGGGAATTCAAGAGAATCGGTTTGATATAGGTTTAAACTTCTTATCAGTAGTATCATAACTTGTATGTACCAGGCAGTGTTGCAAAAAACCTGATTTTAAAACAATCTATATCAATTCGTACTGATTGTTTCCTTTAATATGCTAATAGTGACCTTAATTAACCTAATAACCTATTTTCATTATTTAAAGAGGAGCATTCAAGTAAATTCGATGCCGTAGTGAGAAAAAAGTTCAAATATCTATTTGAAAAATTTTTCTGAAGATTCTGATATTTGTTCAGGATGATAGAACTGATGCAACCCTGCAATCATCGAATCTCTCGAGAAGTTAGACACCTCTAGCTACCTATTGAACATGATAAGGAGCTACTTTCACGAGAGGACACTATGGTAGGGCAAACGACGATGAAGGTAACCATGGGAGTGTCGCAGGGCTCCGTCTTAGGGCCGCTGCTTTGAACGTGTTCTACGATGGGGTTCTTCGATTACAGATGCTGGCGGAAATTCGCTTGAAAGGGTATGCTGACGACCTTGTGATGATAGTGACAAGCAAGGAGAGAGATACACTTGAAGGACTCTTGGCATATGGGATCACGAGAATTACCATACGGATGGAAGAAATGGCTCCTGAGAAGACGGAAGTTTGCTTTAAATTAGCAATGCACCTTATTGCAGATTTCTGAACTTTAAACACTTTTTCAATATGTATATTAGCTGCAGAGCTCCAAACTAAAAGTCCATAACGTAGAATAGAATCAAAAAGAGAATAATAAGCTGTACGTGCAGCTATTTCATTGACGGTATATATTTGCCTTATCGCATTAAATTGCCCTGTTTAATTTATTACATAGAATATTTACATGGTCATTATACAACAGACTAGTGTCTAACACTACACCCACGCATTAGCCCGATCCAGGACGCTCCCAAGCATCCGCGCTGCGTCCACGCCCCTCTCTACAGCAATTCCCAATGTTGCATCATTGGCATACAGTATGGTCTCTATTACCATGTTCGTTTGTGAATGCTTGTGGCAAATCATTCACATATATGAGAAAGAGGAGTGGACCCAACACGGAACCCTGAGGCACACCAGTCTCTGCAAGCATAGGTTCACTAGCTCAATTATTATAGCAAACAACCTGAGAGAAAGGATCGCATCAGCTTTAGAGCAGTTCCCCTAACGCCATAAAATTGTAGTTTTTCTAATAAAATATTTCTATTCACACAATCGACCGCGGCAGTCAGATCAGTAAATAGTCCTACAAACTTATTTTTATTTTCAAAGCCTACCTTATACAATTTACTAAAGTTAGTACGGCATCTGTTGTCGTTTTGTTTTTCCTTAATACAAACTGCCTGGGAATAATGATTTTATTTTTATCAAAAAATGAAACAAGTTGATCAAAAATAACTGTTTCCAATACCTTTGAAACCACAGGCAGAATAGATATTTGTCAAAAGTTTTGAGGAAGGTTCAGCTCTCCTTTTTTGTAGAGCATGATTAATTTAGCAGATTTTAAAAGAGATGGAAATGTATCATCCACCAAACAAGTGTTTATTATATCTACCAGTGGTGACAGTACTAACTACTACTACTTCTTAAAACTAAACACATTAATTTCAAAAACATCTTTCTTTTCATTTTTTAATTTGTTTATAATACAACTCAATTCATAAAGATCAACTGGCCTGAAAAACATAGATTTATAGTTCTTACTGATGCATTAGGGATTTCATTGGCAGCTTGTAAAATGTTTCTGTTGTGACTTTCATTTTCAGTATTGTATCCGCTTCTAAGTTGTTCGAAGGCCCCGTTTATTAAGTTAACTACTATTTTTCTAAATTGGGTTTTATGCGGCTGCCGGCGTTAGGGGTACATCTCCAAGTACCTTGCTGAGGACAACATATCAAACTTTTCTTCATTTGAGTAGGGAATATTGGCCATTTTCAGCAGGTTTTGACAATTTTTTTTGTCAGATTTATGATTTTAATGAGAGAAAACGTACCTACTACTTATTAAAACACAATTTTAATACTTTGAATTATTTAACGTCAAAGTCAGAGCCTCCTGAGATAAAAAAATGTGTTACTTATTAATTTTATTTTCTGACAAATAAATCATGGCCTCCTTGGAAAAAAACTAATACATAACATTACATGTGATGATATTTCGATGATACTCCAATCTTTTATGCACTTGTGAGACATCAATAGGCTGGAAATTTTATGCTCTTCTCAAAAATCAAAAAATCCAAAATGGCGTCCATAAGAAAAATGAAAATTGGGGCAGGTTGTGGGAAAACAAAAGACGATTGAAACATTTCATACACGCTATCTTATTTTCCTTAAAAAATGTCCAAATAATGTCACATTTTGATAGCTGTCAAATTGAACGTGTCAGATTTACTGGCAAAAAACAAAATTCGACATTTTCGGTTTTTCGCCGATATTTCCAAAACCAATTGACCAATCGTAAATCTGAAGCCGGCTATCAAATGCACTAAGTTTCCTCTAAAACCTCCCCCATTTAACCTTTGCTGTAGGTATAACAGGAGCTGTGATCCCTGTATTGAGAAGCGAATCTGGGACACACCGTATTTGACCACTTCCAAAAACAGTTTAGTAATCTTGAACACAAAATTCATAATTACAATTTGTATTATATTTTAGCCTAAACTGTCCAGCCACTGACACTTTCACCTTATTCATAACTAAATGACTGGACTAATATTATGAAACAATCAAAAAATTTCTACATCAATATTTCCCAATGAATTCAGACTAGGTAGAAGGAGTAAGCCTAGGATTTGTTTGCCTTCAAAATCTCAGTACAGTAATGGACAAAAATATATAGAAAAATATGAATATTTACCTAAAGATCTTTAGAAAACAAGTTCATACTTCATTGCTCCATAAACAAATGCGTTATTAGTAGAAAAACTAAATTCCTTGTTTTTACATTATCTGCAATGAACACAATACAAGTCTGAATATAAGCACTTTTTTATGAGGGACAAAAATATGTAGACAAATTCTTTTCAACATTAGTTCAGTACAGTTTCATGTCAGAAGAGGATTAGTTTGTGTTCATCAAGTACTGTGGAATAAGTTGAGTGATTTTAAGACCAATCAGTGTGGTCCAGAAATTCCTTTCGATGTGAAGACTAAGATCATTGAGTTATACAAAGATGGCCAACATCAAGTCACATTGGCAAAAATTTGAAGCTGAAGCGTAAAGCAGTTTGGGCAATATTGAACACATATAAACAAAAAGGTTTCTTGGAAGCCTCTAAGAGAAGTGGTCGGCTTAGAAAACTAAATGCTAGATCAGTTAGATTAATAAAGTAATTTCGTTCAAAGATCTGTTTAAAACCCCAAGACAAATAATAAGCCGAAATCGAGACAAAAGGAATTGTCAGTGTTTCTACGAAAATTATAAGTAGAAGATTAAATGATCTCTTGATTCTCACAAAGAAATTCTTTCTGGGTGAAAAAATAGCAGTTCTCAAATGACCTTCACAGTCTCCTGATATAAACCCCATTGAAAATCTATGGGAATACTTAGATAAGCAAATACGAGATAAAAATTATTCAAACAAGGATGAACTTTTTGCTGCATTAGAACAAAAGTCGAGACAGATTGATGAATCTTATATCAAGAAACTTCTACAAACTATGCCGAGACGATGCCAGGTGGTGATTGATAATGGTTATGCTACAAAATATTAACACAAACATGGTTGGTTTTCTATAATTCAATGAACTTTGCTTCTTTCTTCTATAATTGACTATATATTTTTGTCCTTCATAGTTCCAGTTTTTTCAATTAAGTTTTTATTGAAGGGAATCCAATGAATTTATTTATGTATAAGTATTATGCTATAACGAATTATGTATACAGGTTGGTGTATTAATAAAACAAGTTAAAAAAGAAATACAGCACAATATTAATTTGTCTATATACTTTTGTCCATTACTGTATATAGTAACTATGAAAGTACATACAAGAAGACTTGACATAACTTAATTTTTTGACAATCCTTTCATTAACATTATATTAGACAATTTCAGGACATGATACTTCTTGCAAAATTTGTAAAGAGTGGCACAATTCTAAATGAAGGTAGATCTTTCCACCAGTATGTATTATTAGTACAATGCTGTCACTTTAGTAGGGAATTGCAGTCAAATAAGTCAAATCTATGCACTACAGCTAAGCAATTTTGGTGACAAACAATGCAATGTAAACAAATAGGGTTGGCTCCATCTAATCTATTCAAATTCTTTAATATTTCCTGTGCAGATCTGTCTATGTGTATTGCAAGTATGTACAAGTCACTTCTTATGTTATACAAGTTTCGATCTCCCTGAAGAAATTTGACATGCACCATCATTTGCAATCTTGAAAATTACAAATTTCTGCAAAATGCACGAAATAATCTGGATTTGTAAACAGAAGTAGGAGTGCATGTGATGATATCATTATATAAAGTATAAACAAGCTATACTTAATGGTTTTAATTTTAACTTGACATTGTGCCCTGCTTATGGCCTATAAACAATTCTACGATCTTCAAATGAATGCCAAGGCACGTTCATTTATGATTCTTTTATAAACTAAAGGCTCTCTATCGTGTATAACTGTATTCATTACCTACAATGAGCCTTACAATTGATATAAGAATTTAAGTGAGTCACCGAAAGCCGAGGATTTAGTCGAGTTTAAAAATAAATATTGTTATAAATTATTGATAAAATACCAAGTATTAGCATATTTAAAAATAAAAAAGAGATACAGGAACGTCGGAACGTGAGCACATGCCTTAGAATTCTAAATTTATGAACATGAATGAAAAAGCGAAACTGGATTTTCGGAAAGAATGTAGTGTTAAAAACAACAATCGCGACATGCATGTAATGATCCATATTCTGTTCTGCTGAAAAATATTTTGATAAATGCATAGGTATAAAACATTACACATTTGATTTTTAGATGGATTATTTTTAGGTGTCTATAAATGTAGGTGGGATTGTTGTGGAAATGACACATAACGGGGCTTTTAAATACATACGCCCAAATATTTATTCAATAACACAAGAAAATCGGGGTCATTGTTTGAAAAAATCGAATATACCAATGAATTCTAACACAATCTGGTTACGATTTATTTAAATACCACCTGCTCTACTGATCCCACAAGTGTAATTTGGCTGTTTTGTAACGGAAAACGGGTTACATCTCTTGCGTCTTGTCTGTTTTTGTTTTGGAAAAGTGATATAAACATTTTATCAATATGTGGATAACACAATACTCAATGGGTACATACCTTATTGGCAGCAGATGTACTCCATCAATTTTTATATGGATTTTTATGGAATCGGCATACACATTCACAGCGAACTGGGATGGGCCACATACACATACCATAAACAAACGACAAACGGATACAATCTTGCAATCGGGAGATCGACAGGCGGCAGGGCGGCAGACGGTTAATGTCAACGTCCCTCTATTTCATGAGCTGCTTTGTTTGAAATACTACATGATACAACTCGGATTACTCAAAAAATAGGTGCAATAAAATATAAATGAAATATAACTAGGAGAAATAAAATGCGTAGCTAAAAATAATACAGTAGAAAGTGGAACTACTTTTTCTTGTGTCACAGCTTGGCGTATGCTGACAAGACAGATGCACAAATAGCTAATGAGGTAAAATACAGCGATGCCACTTTGCCTAAAAAAAAATCTCTTGATGGAAAGTGTTTTACCACTTTCAATTTTACCTTTCACGTCAGTTGGGATAATCGCGAAAAATTGAGATATCATGTTTTTGGATGTTACATGACATCACGAAAAAACATATCACTAATTTCTACAGGTCGGTATGTCTGACGGTCTATCTGTCCCCTAACCTTTGGCCCCTCTAATACACCTACCTGCCTACAGGAAGATTCATTTTCTCTAATTTGGTTCACTTACATTTTACCACTTCAATTTTATTTTATCTATATGTAAATTGTCATTAAGGTATTTACCCCGGTATGAAGGTTGAAAAGTGACATTATGTCGATTTTTTTTACATTTTATTGTTTTTTCTGACATTATGTAGGTTTTTCTACAGGAAATTAACTTAGATCTCGCTGATGGAAACGTTATGTACTTGTTTTGTAGTTGTACGTGTCTACGTGTTGCCTAAACGTCATTATGCTTCAGTTATCAATGCTTGGCTCTGATGTGATGTTAAATCTGGTTCCGAAATGGAATTACTGGAGGTCTAAGCTGTCAGTTGTGTACTATAGCTAGAAGGAAGCGGCAATAAATAGGTGCATAGTGAGGATTGTGTGCTAATAATGATAATTCAATTGGATTCTTGTCTCTAATACACTTACTTGAGACTCATAGCTAGAAATTAGTTGCGCATTTACTTTTTCTTATTCATTCTGGAAATTACATATGCAAATTTGCTGAATTTAAAAAACGATAGAGATGAGACATAATTATTTCACTGTAAACTGCCGAATTACAAGTCATACTAACAGTAATTAAACACAACGCGGGAGCGGTGGTAATTTCCCGTACTCCTCCTCAAAGCTTTTGAGAACACAAAAAAAAAACGTAAAAAATCGTAATTTATAGCGTTGAACATAACCTGCCTTCGGAAAGGACAACATATAAGTAACCCGTCGGATACAGCCAGTAGATATACTTCATTGGCAGCATATTCAGTGATGATTTTTTTACACAGCAAATATCACTAATTTTATAGGGACACATGCAGACCAATACACATAATCATCCAGATGCAATCTTGCTACTACACAGACTTTTTTCTCAGAGATGAAAACTACAGACTACTCGGCTTCACAAAACATATGCAACCAGCAATGCATGTAGTTGAACCATTCCTCCATAGATGGATGCTCACAACGATCCTAGTGAGCACCTAAAAAACTACCTACTTTGCAACATGACATTTTATGGGTTTCTCTGACGTTTTATAGGCTTTTTACACAATACCCGTGCCGTACGGGTACTACGTATCTTGAAAAGTGACATTAAGTCGATTTTTTTTGACATTATATTGGTTTTTTGTGGCATTACGTTGGTTTTTCTACAAAATGTTAACTTAGCACTAGCCGATGGACAATTGTTGCGAACTCGGTTTGTAGTTGTACGTGTTGCCTAAACGTCAAATTCTTCATCAATGTTTAGTTCTGACCTGACGTAAAATCGGCTTCAGAGATATCATTGCTAATAATATGTGTTGATAATTCCATCATGTTCTTGAGACAAGATACACTTTCTTGAGATTAAAAGCTAGAAATTGCATTACATTTCTGGAAATTGCATATGCAAAGAAAATTCCTGGTTGCGAAGGAACAGGTGAGAAAATATGCAACAGACCGGCATATTTATGAAAGTGAAAAGGTTATTACATTATTTTTTATTTCCAATCATTTAACTTTAATACAAATTAATTTTGTGATGTCAATAGAAAATACAAATCAGCGCCTAGATGTGAGGCATTGTGAAAAGGTTTGATATGTGATGCGTCATTCCTATTTTTTTCTGTGATATGCCTCAATTGCACAAAACACGGGCGCGGTGACGATTTCCCGTAATGCCCCTCGAAATCTTTGAAAACAAAAAAAAAACGGGTAAAATCGTAATTTATTATTTTCTCGCATAGAAAATATCACTGATTTTGTACAGATGCAGACGAATACACATAATCATCAACATGCGATCTTGCTATTTAACCAACTTTCATTCTTTCACATCTTTACAGACTACTCGACTTCACAAAGCATATACTTGCTCTTTGCAACTAACAATGCGTGTAGTTGAGTCATTCCTCCCTAGATGGATGCTCTCAGTGATCAAACTTTGATTGAACTATTTGCACCCGAAAAGCAACGTAGTCTGCAAGATGACATTTTATTGTTTTTTTGACGTTTTATAGGTTTTTGACATAATAGCCATGCCGGTGAACGTTATAATTGTAATAGTAGTTTTAGTATCAATTTTATTACTTTCAGTTGTTTTCCAACTTTGGGTATCACCATCGGCATTACCCACTAATCTTTTACTTAGCACGTTTGGCTTCTAACTTCTAACTACTTTGCCACTTTAGATTCATTCCGTACAGCTTATTTAGCCACAAGCACATTACTTGCACGTATTTGTTGCAAGTTTACATAAAGTTCATCCAAGTGTTTGACGGCTACTTAATTGATCTGAACGCAATCAAAACATCTACAGTCTGACACACACCAACAATTTCCAGATCTATCTTCCTTCAAGTAAAAACATCTACAACTCGAATGTCAATCAAATGTTAATACAAGTTTACTAAGAGTGTCCAAAAATTCACGCATGAATAGAATTGAATATAAAACACAGTTTTTATTCTTAAGGAAAGGTACATCACGCAATAAATGTCAAATAGCATATTCAGCTTTGTTACCACATACGCATTCTTTTACTGATATTGTCCATCACAATTTTGCATAAATGTGGCTGAATTTTATTGGTTTTCCTTCTTCAATCGATGGCTGTTCATGGGCTTCTTTTTTCATAAACTGGGGCAATATTGATGTGGATAACACATACCATAGATCTCGTAAGGCAATTCGAATATTGCATAAGATTTTTCTTGGTCATGTACTTCCTGGTTTCGGTGATCAGAAATTCACACTTCAGGTCTCTGTGTGTTTCTTTCTGTTTGGATGAAATTATTGAGGGTAACGAGTGGTTTCAAGAAGACAGTGCCACGTGCCATATAGTCCGTGAAACAATTGAATTGCATTATGAGACATCTCCTGAAGATGCGATCTCTCCTTTCGAATATCATAGTTTCTTCGTAGATCGTACGATTTAACAACATTTGATTCCGTTTACTTCCCTCGCCCACTGGCGAGGAAGTACTGTAATAGCGATCAACGACTTGTACATCACGAAAAACCATGTCATTCATTTTCGTTGATCTGTATGTCTGACTGTCGGTCTGTAGGCTAATCTTTAGACCGCCTATAACATGGAAAGCACCTGTCGGATCAAATTATCACAAGGTTATAAAAGCTTTGTAGTTTTGAAACATCGGCCCAGTGACAACGGAGCTAGCGGAAAAAAACGGAAAAATGAAAAATTGACCAAACTTCGTTTTTTGACGCTTCACGGGCTTCTGATAATTTTCAGAAAAACAATTTTATGGGTTGAAAATTTGGGGATTGTAGCTATGGGGAAAGGTATATCTCATTTTGTTTGTGGTAGTCTATACGCTCACAAGCCCAGTAATTTTACGCACCTATTAGTACGTATTTCACACATCAGAGATTTCCCCCTACATTTACTCTTATAACTTGGAGAAATATATTTATATACGTGACATGCGGACGACAGGGACGATGTAATGTAACGGCAACTTCCATACGCCTAACTCTGCCTTGCGTGTGACAGCATTGCCGGATGTTATAGTATCGTGGCTGCAGCTTATGACGTATTGAACAAGGAGTGTTGTAGTGGATGGAAGATATTAGTCATCTATTCTCTATCGTACACATACATACTTTTGTACATATGTACATGTACAACCGAGCAAGTTATCCCGCATCATACTCAGCATCGTTCGCCTCACTATTGCTTGAATATAATTTTCACTACCGTATATGCGTGGCAAAATTGTCAGCAGTGAGCCTCTCGCCGAGCGTCAGTTCGAGGTTTGTCTGGTAGTCAACCCACCTACCACATTGGTGTAGGTGATTAGGAGTATCCTCCGCTGCATTGCAATATACGCAGTTCGCGTACTCTCATCTCTTTCATATACTCTTCAGGTAGCTGTCAAAACTACCAGTCCTGTGAGAAACTGTGTGGTATAGTAATATATCCGCATCGTTCCTTTGTCAATCCAAGTTTTAATATCTGGGATCAGCCTTCTGGGCCATGCACAATGGCCAGTTGCATCCCATCTCTCCTGCCATCTGACAAAAAGCGTCCCTCTTTCGTCGCTTGTAGCTTCAACGCCCTGTTTATAGAGCGCACATTTCTCCGCAGCAGGGAAGTCAATTGGCGGGATACCAACCGCCAACAGCAGGTCATCGGTCGACACCGTTCTGTAAGGGCATACCACGCGCAGCACTACTTTTCGCTGGCTTCTCAGTATTAGCTGTCTATATTTCTTTTTCCTTAAGACCTTGTTATGTACAGCTAATCGACTTTGCCACCGGTGCCAAAATCCTGCGACTCTCACTACTTGCATTACCCGTATAAGTGATGCAACGACCTTATTTACTTTGTCAGTGGTGCGCCTTATATGTTCAATCACTTTAAGATCCTTATCAAGCCACACACCCAGATACTTATTTGCATTTTGGCTCTGAATCTCGGAATTATCAACTCTTAAAAGCTAATGAAGTTAGCTTCTGTCTGCCGGAAAGTATATCAACTTCCGTCTTCTCAGGAGCCAACTTCAAGCCATTTTTTCCATCCATATGGCAATTCTCGTGTTTCCATATGCCAAGAGTCCTTCAAGTGTATCACTCTCCTTGCTAGTCACTCATTGCAAGGTCGTCAGCATACCCTATCAAGCGAATTTTCGGCAGCATTTTTAACCGAAGAACCCCATCGTAGAACACGTACCAAAGCAACGGCCCTAGGACGGAGCCCTGCGGCACACCCATGGTTACGGTCATCG